CTCCCAGCCCCGTCCAGAAGTCCAACCACGCTGGCAAGAATAGGAAGGGGAAGAACTCTAAATCGACATCGTCACGGATTGCTGTGCAAGACGAGATGCCTCGAGCTTCCTCACCGGAGACCGATGCCTCGCATGCTCCCCTACAGATTGCAGAGGTGCATTGGGAGGCCCCATCGCAACCCACTTCCTGGTCTTCTCCCTGGTCTTTCCCAGAGTTTGGCCATACAACGATATCGATACCTTGCGATCCCTCAGCGGAAACCAATGCTTTGGAATATCTCTCACAAGCTGGCTATAGCGGACTTTCCGTGGACGATTTGGCGCGTTTGCTGCCCCCTGACGCCTTTGAAGATGAGTTGGTCGTCATGGCGGACGTCCGTGCATACTTTCATGTTGCATACAAGGTACGTGGTCTCCGCAAGTGTGCGATTTAAAAGTCGATGGACTCACGAAACTGCAACACTGCAACATACTATACATACAGCGCATAATCGACCACGTCCCTCTCAAAATCGAGCACTCTCTGCATCAAGCTCTGGTGGGAAAGCTGTCGGTTACACTCCTGCAGAGCCTGGTCGTCGACACGACGGCTCGAGGGGACTTTGCGGAACGCATGAAAGAGCTTGCGAGCGAGGATCCGGCTGTTGCTCAGAAGCGAGATCATCTGCAGGCGAGGCGAGCGCGGCTTGGGGAATACAGGAGGAAGTTGATGAACTTTTCTGCCTGAGTTCTGTGTGTTGAAGTGGTCACCAGTCTTGCGATTTTTGTGTGGCTTGTGTTTTGGGGTGTACAGTAAAGTCTCGGTGGGCTTTTAGATCTGACATGTTGAATATGCTGTGTTATTCGAGACCCCAAGAGGTCGAGAACTAGGAGTTACTTCCTTGGCGCTCTTGGTGCTCTGAAGAAGTTTACAAAATTTGCGAAATTAGTAGTAGGAAGACTCTGGTAAGTTTACTGATGACTACATGTTCGCGCATCCTTGCATGTTTCTTGCAGCGAAATGACTATTCAATCCAATATCCATAATTTACAAAAAAAAAGGAAATCGTGTCCGTCAGATTTTCAACGCCCAAGCGTACGATCAAGCCAACGTCTATTTTTCCAGATTTTGCACGGGAGACTCGGTGGCGGGTACACCAGTTGGCTGAGGCAGCGGACGTCGTCTGTTCCGTGCATCCCACTGTGCATCGTAAGCAGGGGGGAGTCTACCAGACGACGAGCGGGTCAGCGCTGGGAGGACAGGGCCGAGGTCTTCGTGCCGGGCGGAGACACCAGGTGACTGCATCTGCATGATATCCGAAGAGCCGCGCGAAGAGTACACGGCTCCGCCTTCTGACGCCGACGGACCGACACTCGAGGAAACGTTGCTCTCCGTCGGGCGGTGCCTGCCTGTCCAGGATGCATTGGCATACCCGGCGGAACCTTGGATGTATGGGGTGTGAGCAGTACGAATCAGTGGGTGTGAGGTGGAGTTTTGCTTACTTGGGGATGTTAGAGGGTATGGCGAGAGCATGGACGTCGTTGAAGTCGTCGGTGCGTCGATGTCTGTTGTTGGGAGGGGTCGGTGCACTCGACGCTTCCTCCAACAAATGAAAGCGAGCCCTAGAAGCAATGCTAATCCGAGTATACCACCGACGGTGCCTCCAGCTACACTAGCGGTGGACGGGTGCGAAGACTGGGAGGACGACGTGACCTGATTTGTCGTTGGTACGGAGCCGGAAGCAGATGTCGAGCCAGAAGCAGATGTCGATGGCAGGGCCGAAGACGTGGTGGATGTCGTAGAATTACAGTGGGTAAAGGTATTGTTATTATTCTCGACCTGGTCCCGACTTGCGGTGTCCATGGTATAAACGCTGGATTCGGTCCTGGAGGTCAGTGGCTTGATGCGGGACTACACACCGACTCACAAATACCTAGAGAAAACGACATTCAGACGACGTCTCGGAAGATTTTGGAATTCACAAGTACCATGAACCATCGGTCCAGAATAGTCCGTACAGAAAGTTGTCTAACTTGATGCCAGCGTTGCAGGCAGCGGTCTGGATATCTGCTGGAAGTCTGTTCTGGGGATCAGCATTGCTCCGTGAGGTGAGGGGCCGTGCGTACGATTGGTTTGTGCCCGGGCTGCAGAAGGCGCCGGTAGGTGCACGGTACATCCCGTAGGCACCTACTCCTGGAAGAGCAACACGTTGAGCGCCAGAGGGAACCGGAAAAGGTTTATACGAACCGGCGTCTATGCCGCTGGATGCGCCACCTATAACATCCCATTGACAGCTGTAAACCGTTGTAAGTACGACATAAGCGCGATGAGAAACTGTGTGGTTGCGCACTTCATGCATAGCATGCTCAGCGCCCACGAGATAGAGTTGCAACAGCAGTCATCTGTAGATAGGTCAGTGGCGAACAAGGGAGGCAGACAGACACCATACGCAGCTGGTCATCACATTGATCGCCTGGGGTATTTGCACGAAAAGAGGGGACCTGATCTACACATCGAAAGTCAAAGACTAAAATCGGGTCTACAGACACCTTCACTCACACTGGGGATTGCATATTTGCCTCAGCCGCTGGTATGTATCGCCTTCATCCCAGGACAGTCAGTCGAAGTCACTTGGAACAAAAAGACCGCTGGTCTTACAAGCTGTCTCGCCAACAGCGTTGGTATACCTGCTCGATGTTAGCAATGACACGAGGACCTGCAAAGAGAAACCAAGTTCACCAATCCGTCAAATTCCCAGCACATGTCGTATTTCCGGCCTTGACGACATCTAAGCTCAAGAAACCAGCGATCGCAAGTGCAAGAGCTCTAGCACGGCGTTGAGAAAACCACTGTAGGTACATCGATCAGAGTGCTAGATAGTTGGGTGAAGTGAAAAAGCTGGGAGTCTGGGACAACGGGCTGTTCTGCTCCACGGCGGGAGAAGTACCCGGCCATCATAATTCCATGTGGATCGAATGTCGTCGTAAGCCAACTGAGATAAAACCGGGGACAATTGTTCCCAGTATAGCAGGCAATATTGCCATCAATTTTGACTGTTGAAATTGAGCACCGTCGTGTACCGAGGGAGGCTCTGCAGCGGTAGCCAAGCTGGTATCCATTGCGACAACAACAATATCAGGATGCATGGATTGACCTATGTTATCAGGGAGAATGAACATACCCACCTTGCATAACACATCGATCAGTTATTATAGAAGCACCAATTTTCCCGGATCGATCGGGCATACCTCGCAACAAATGAGCGCATTTCACACAGACCACCTTCATCTTTATGGTCTACTTTGGGAGACTAACAGCAAGCACTGTGGTTTGTCCAAGACGGTAACAACGTATAGGTAAAGAGCTGGTCGAAAAATCACAAGGCCATTCGACGTTCGCCGCTTCTTGGCACTTTCGGCGATAGTATGTCAGTGCCATCAGATGTGGATGAAGAGTCCAAGATGAGGAGGAAGTTGGGTGCCAAAGCTAGGGAACAGCTGGCAACAGTCGGAACAAAGTCGGAATCGTCGTCAAGGGTGTCGATGAAGGCGCGCCTACCGCTGCGTACCCTTACGGTTGTAACCGGATACATGTGATTGGCTCACGCTTGTCAGCATCCGCACTCAAGCGATGCGCTATCCACTCCGTCACCCATCCCTCCGCCGCACCGTTGGCTTTCCTCCACTCCCTTATTATCATAAACACACTCAAAGACGATGTCGGCATCTATTCTCCTGCGCTCGACATTGCCCAAAACTTTCGCTTCAACCACCGGCCGCATTGTTTTACGATCCGCTCTCCAAGGTATCACACTCTTCCCACCTCTCAATCTCCCACAATACCAATACCCAAGTGTTTTGTAGTGAGACACGGTTCTAGTTCGACTCCGCACTATGTTCCTGGTGGCCGCGAGTCTTCGTCACTCATCCCATCCAATTCCACATCTAAATAATCATAATTTCTAGCCATATACCAGGGAACCGTCAATGACCCAACGACATTCCCACCACCCTCCAAGACTCACGGTTCCTACCACTGGGCATTCGAACGCCTTCTGTCTGCGGCTTTGGTACCCATGACCGCTGCAGCATTTGCAACGTCGGGGACCGCTTACCCCGTTCTCGACGGTCTTCTGGGCATTTCGTTGGTGATGCACAGTCACATCGGAGTAAGTACCCCTTGTTGATCAGCCGTTTAGTGTCACTAACGCACCTCCAGTTTGACTCCATGGTTGTCGACTATCTCCACAAGCGTAAATTCCCCATCATTGGGCCTGTCATAACGTGGACACTCAGGACCGCTACCGTCGGCGTCCTCGTCGGCGTTTACCAGTTCAACACCAACGACATTGGTAGGATAACATCAGGTGTCCCAAAGTCGCGCGAGCTCACACTCTTATCAGGTCTGACGGAGCTGATTGCGAAGGTGTGGGCCGCATAGATCATCTGGACCGTATAAGTCGCAAGTCTGCTGTTCACGTAAGTTTAGACAAATTCGCAGCCAGAAGATGATGGGATGCATCGAGCGGAATGGAACTTGGAGAGTACACGCTCTCACATGCGCTTCTAGCACCTTTCTTTGTCTTTGGTGAAAATCCAAGATCGGTCCACGTGCATCTTCCGTGACCTTGAGTTACTCCTGGATAGCAGGGAGGGACTCGCAGACGCAGTAGACGAGAAAGAAGTATGAGTGGATCAAAAATAAATTGGTGAGTATCCTCAGCCTCCGTTTCTTCGCCCTCTGCGCGAACACAGACTAAGCTCGATGCATCGGACAACTGATCGAAGAGAGGCGTGATACAGAACCGGGACATTCCATGAGTACGAAGGAAAGAAACGACGCAAGAGTGGATTCGACATATCAGGGAAGTGAGATCCTGGACCCCGCCGAGATTTCATTGTACATCAAGTCAAAGAGTATCGAGCACTTACAACTCGGGCAGAAATTTTCATCGGTTCCTCTGTGGTGTCGCTGTTCAGAATGGAGTGAGCTGATACATAGAGGATTCTCCAAACTGCAAGCCCGCTTAGCTCAGTGGTAGAGCGCGTCACTTGTAACAGATGGAGATGATGAGGTCGGTTGTTCAATCCAGCCAGTGGGCAGTATTTTTGCTCTCCATTGAGGTTTTTCGACCTGTTACACTTCCTTCCTTTCGCAAGCACCATGAGACGGAGATAGTCGTCCGTCATGATATGAATCACGGTGGCCCTTCAAGTTCCTTAATATTCGACAATGCTCTTCTACTAGACTTCTAGTACCTACGACTAGTACTAGACGAGTATTTTCGCCTCGCTCTCAATCGCCTTCTCCGCCCTGCCAGCGAGGCATCAGTGTCTGGCCGAAATTTGAAGCTTCAAGCGTGTTATGAATCGTTTTGAATCTCTTCCGTTCCTCTTCTTCGTGGCCCGTGCACGAGTCTGATCCGTGTAGTAGGGAAGATCAGTATAGGGATTGACGGTCGATTTGGAGTCGATTTCGCTGTCGATTTGGACACAATTCTTTCACGCGGAAATCACCGAAAACGGTTTTGTAGACTGACATACCTCGATGTCAGTCGTTTTGGAGGTCGTTTTGGAGGCGGATCTCGCATTGTTATCGTCAGAGTCTCAAAATGTAGGAGCTACCACGGGCTGGATTTTTTCGGTTTTAGCTACTGATCAATTGCGAGACATATAGGGATGCTCGATTCTAAAATCTCAAGCTCAGCCTCAACTGAAGACCCTGGCCCACAACAATGCCGAGAGTAATCTGAGTGCGAAATAACGTCAACGGCGTGCAGCGCCGAACACTGCGCTCCCCCAATAACCCTAACCCTAATCTTAACATATAGTAGGTATTCACATTAATTCCCAAACCTCATCCGGCTTACTCAATAGCCCCTAACCCTCACCCTAACCAAACAGTCTAAATTACAGCTGCATGCAAAACGTTAGACCGCTTGGCCCTATGCTCCGCTCAGCATTTTTGTTTACATTGTGGAGCAAACCAAACAAATATGATAACCAAGGTCACGTCACAGTCACACTCGACGCTCAGCGGACCACTGCTCAGCGCTCACTCTCCACGATGCAGCGCTGGACGCTGAGTACCCCAGTTCGATCAATGAGCGATGTCCCCACCATGTTTGTCCACCTAAGTCGCCATCCTGCCCTCTTGTTCGCCACATCATGGTACCAATGCCGGATCTTGGTGCTTGTTAGTGTCGTTGCCAGCATCTACAAGCCGCTCCACAAGTTAGTTCAAGCCTCCCTGAATATGAAGGGCCCAACCACGGAACTTACTGAGCATAGTGAGTGCCAGAAACGTATAAAATGGGATGGGTTGGACACCTAACTTCCCAAACATGACCAGTAACAATCCTTTCGACAAACTTTCTCCGGCTGAACAGGACGAATACCGCCGCCGATTCCCTCGAGCGGGCTTCTGGGTGGGTGCGCTGCCACCCCCACCCGACCTTGCCCCTTACTATCGTCCCCATGTTGCACGTGTCGAGCAGTCCACACCGCTGATGGGTCCAGGTGTTCCTCCTCCTCCTCCGTATCACCAACTCACACCGGCAGTATATCATCGGGAG